AGAAATGAAAGTCGAGTTAAACATACTATGTGAACTGGGCTTAAGATCTCCTGGAAGGTTTAAGGTGAGCTAAGGACCGTGCTGCTTTGTTGTGCATGGCTCAAGCACAGGTTCACTTTACACTATTGACTGAATTGATCCTTGGACACAAAGTTGCTCCTGTCAACTGTAAATCCTCAAAAATACTCGTATAGTGTGCACATAAAAAAAATCCATGTGGACCAAAAAGTGCTGACATTGCCTGCCATGAGGATCTTGAGGTTTCCTGGAAGTGGAGACATGAGGGCCCAGGGACTTTGGTAAAGATTTCCTTACCCTAAGGGCTCTGGATTGAGACTCTGCAGTGACACTGAGGTAAGTGATGTTAACATGTGTTCTGTAGCTTGAAGTACTTGTTGAAAGTATAGTGAATGTTTCATATAGTCAGACTAATCCATTCTGATTGTTGATGGGCTGCTCCAGTTTTGTTACTGCACATCCAGTTAATTTTTCATTGTGTCTTTTTTTACTTTTGCTTTTAGCTCCAGGGTCTGAGTCACAATGTCATCTTTACTCTGGACTCCCTTTTGAAAGGAGACCTCAAGGGAGTGAAAGGGGTGAGTGAAACCTTTTGTCGCTGTCTGTATTATTGGCATTAAAGGAGAACTATGAGGTGAGTGATTTTTAGATTGGGAAGTGAGCGAACGCATACCGTCGCTTGCTCACTTCTTGATCGTGTCCCTGCAGAGAGCCGTGACTGTCACTCACGGCTCCCCACAGGGATTCCCCCCTCCCCTGTCCGATCCTCCAGCGCTGACTGGCGGAACAGACGGGGAGGGGCCGGGTACAGCTGGCCTGCTGTCAATCACGCAGCTGGGTGGATCTCGACAGTAATGTCGGGATCCGTCCCGGCTGCGGCGTCTCAGTATACCGCGAGCTACAGCTGAACTTTGGGATGACGCTAGTTTTTGTTCTCCCGTTACCCTTAGGAGAACTATGGGAAAAAGCCCTGACCCCATAGTTCTCCTTTAAAGAAGATCTCCAGTCTGGTGGAAAAGTGGGACATTGTTTTAGCTCCCGTATTTCATGTCCTTACGGGTTCCCTTTAAAATGTGGAGCTGCTCTAATTAATATACTAAATACAACCAAGAAAACCACTTCAGTGAAAAGCAGTTACACGAGGAGCAGCTGACTTGACAACTTGAAAAGCTGCTGCTCCATCCCCTTCACTATATCTTGATAATTGGCAGCTTAGATTATTCGATTACCGTATATACTCGAGTATAAGCCGAGATTTTCAGCCCATTTTTTTTGCTGAAAAGTGCACAGAATACTGAAGCTCTTGCTGTATCATGAATGGGGCAGAGTTTCTTTTTTTTTTCTTGGGTTGGTTCACATCTGCTCGGCTAAGGAGGGCGACTGACCAATGATAGAAATACAATTCCATCTGTGCAGTCTGAAGCATGCAAATGCCAAAAATTAAGTTTGATTTCACGGAATGTGTCATACTTCTTTTTTGCTAAATTCTAGTAGGCTATGTGGCCATTCTAGAAGCATATAATGGTTAGTAGTGTCCTTGGCATGTTTCTATGTATTATTCTTTGACTTGTGTGTTTTTTTTTTCTTCTCAAGGATCTCAAGAAGCCTTTTGACAAGGCCTGGAAAGATTATGAAACCAAATTGTAAGTCTAATTTTATTACATGACTTAGCGTTACTGATTTCTGCTAGCTCTAAAAGTGATGGCTACTTACTGATTCATAATGTGTCACTTGGACAGCCCCGTAATGCCCGGCCCCCGTAATGCCCGGCCCCATACTGCCTGGCCCCATACTGCCCGGCATTCACCTAATCACGTCCATACTAGGAAAGTCACTAAGGATATTGCAATCTGATGCTTTTATTGTTGCTTTCCTTGTGAGTACATATATATTTTTTACAAGTTTTGTACTGATTAAAAGGTTTTATTGCACCAGGAAAGGTGGCCGGTGTTTGTCTTTTCTATAGATTTGTGTATACTGTACATGTTATGTGAAAATAAAAAAAAGACACCTGCAGTTATGAACCATTCCAAATGTTGGTATTGTACGGAGAACATGACGACAGGGTTTCTTTTGTCCCGCCACTTTTTTAACCTTAGTACTAAAATCGAGAAGGAGAAGCGGGAGCATGCAAAGCAGCATGGGATGATCCGTACGGAGATAACGGGGGCGGAGATAGCAGAGGAGATGGAGAAGGAGAGAAGGCTGTTCCAGTTACAGATGTGTGAGGTAGGTTCTGGTTCAGATGGCAGGGTACATGGTTCTGAGAGAGGTGCCTAAAACCTCTAGCTGAAAACATATTCAGATACAGAATGATCTCCCCAACATCAGCTCTTGATTTGAATCAGCAAACACTGTTCACATACGGTGTATTTCCTGCCTCAGTCTTCTGTTTTCCCCATGCATTCTATAGAACTAGTGTTCCCGAACACCTGTATCTGTAAACAAAATAAAACAAGGCTGTTTTTTTTTTTCTTGAAGACGTTTCTCTGGTCATCCGACTAGCTTTCCCAATTCAATTGAATTCAATTTCTCAGTTAAATTGAGAAAGCTAGTTAGATGGCCAGCAAAACATCTTGAAATACCTTGAAAAAGGTATATGCAAAAACATAAAGAAAAAAGTTAACAAATAGGTTTAAACTTACCTGTGGCTCCACCGCTTGCTCCCGTCTGAAGATTCTCGAGCGGCTGTGAAGGATGATGGGTCGGGCACATGCGCAGTACAGATCTTCAGCCGGGAGACGAGGAGAAACACAGGGTAAGTCAATGCTGGCAGCATGCACCCGTGTGGGACACAAGACATAGCAGTCAGCGCTGGATCAGAGACCGGCACCAGCACTGGAGGGACTCCTGAAAACTACTGGAAAGAAGATGATGATCGGATCAAGGGGCATCATGTAAGGTAAGTCCTTACACCAGCATTGGGGGAGAATTAAACCTTAATGTCACTTTAACCCTTGCAAAGCAGGGGTATCCTTACAGCAAGGGTAAGCTTTTTTTTTGTTTGCCTGGAATTCTTATTTTAAGAACAATAAAGCATTTTTGGACTCTTGTGCTTGTGGGGTATGTACATGCTTTGAGTTACTTTCCATGCGAGCCTTACCAGATGAAATCAGACCATCTAATGATTATGGTCTCTCGGCATTCTGGAATAAAGTTTTGAAGTCCCTGCGTCTCTTTAATAAATCATTTCAGGATTATGAGACCAAGCAGGTTAAAAACTTCTTAATGCGTAGATATTAGGCGATGGGTACAATTGAAGTACCTGCCCCCAGAAACAAAGCAGTGTATCATGTTGGCTCTTTGCACTTCCTTGCTGAGTTACCATACTTGTGTTCTTCTGTGTGTACGATAAAGAGACTTCATAAAATGGTCTTTTTTTTTTTTAACCATACACAAAGGTATTGTAGCAAACCTTATTGTCTGTTATTACTATAATTACATAGCAATGATTATTTAATTAGATGCGCGCCGAGATGGAAAAAAAAATTGCCTTGCACTAAAATACAGCTTTGCCAACCCGAAACGCGGAGCGTGTAATTACCAACAATGCGCTGTTTTTGTCTTTTGACAGTATCTTATTAAAGTTAATGAAATCAAGACAAAGAAGGGTGTGGACCTGCTCCAGAATCTTATCAAGTATTACCACGCACAGTGCAAGTAAGTACGCTATGGGTAACCTAAGGTCGTGCCTGTTGCTGCATTTAGAGGGAACTGCAAATCCCAGCATGCTGGGTGCGGTGGAATAGTTAAATATCCTGCTCTATTGAGGAGCATAGTGCCGAAGTGAAAGACTTCCAGTGATGATGGTTCCCAGCTTTTGATTTGGTGGGATGGATTCATATGGTAGAAAATTCTGGCTGGGAAGAAAATTCTTGATGTCATAACTAAGGCTGGTTATGGACAGCGTGATAATGGCAAATCATGCTCCTGATTTTGAGCATTGATTTCAGTTATTGGGCCAGTTCTCAACAATATGGAGGGGATAACATGGCCGCCAAAGGTGCTAGAGGGAAAATGTGCAGTTTGGGTGTAAATGTGATCTAAAGTCTATATAGTGCTACGGTAGGAAAGTACTCTCCAAAGGTCCCGTTGATAACAATATGTTTCCTAACTTTGCTCCTTTATCGTTTGGGTCCGCAGGCTGTAGTAGTGTCTTCACACCCCTACCACTGTCTCTCCGCTCTTCCCAAGACCTAGCCTCTCTCTGCGTTTTCTCTCCCGGCCTGTCCTCTAGTGCAATATAAAAATGCTATTTATTAAAAACTGTACTGCACTCACATTGGCAGAACAGGTAATGCGCTCATCCAGAGTATCAACTGCTCGATCTTCCATCACTCCAGGTTGGCTCCCTCATTGAAAACCTGGATTGCACTATATCCATGGTGGATGTGATTCTTTTGTATTTATCTATCACGTTTGTTTCCAGCAATCTTGTCTTTCCTCCATTCATTTTCATAACATGGTAAAAACATCTGAACCTGAGTTCTGCCTTTGTAATTTGTAAGCTGAATTCCAGGCACACATTGTTTCATTTAAATACATTCCACAATAGCCACAAAACGTATATATCCACTTTGTGTGCACCAAATACCTTTGCAGACACAGAAAAACACTGAGCTGCATATAGCCTGTGCAGAAAGCAGAGCTGTGGGAGGGACCCAGCAGGCCCCACCCAGAACAGGCTGCCTGCTGAAAACTACAGGAGGGGGCGGAGACAAGACCCATCACCCTGCACAAGCAGAGAGAGCAGTAGTGACCGGTCTTTATTACAGGAGGTGATGGAGACAAGACCAGTCACCCTGCACAAGATGAGAGAGCAGTAGTGACCGGTCTTTATTACAGGAGGTGATGGAGACAAGACCAGTCACCCTGCACAAGATGAGAGAGCAGTAGTGACTGGTCTTTATTACAGGAGGGGGCGGAGACAAGACCAGTCACCCTGCACAAGGAGAGAGAGCAGCAGTGAGCAGTCTTTATTACAGGAGGTGATGGAGACAAGACCAGTCACCCTGCACAAGATGAGAGCAGTAGTGACCGGTCTTTATTACAGGAGGAGGCGGAGACAAGACCAGTCACCCTGCACAAGGAGAGAGAGCAGCAGTGAGCGGTCTTTATTACAGGAAGCTCCAAGTCTTGCACTGGATTTCTTCACTATTATCCAGGGCTCCAATTCAGAGACATTACCCATATTAAACAAGAACCCCTATTGCTGACCTTCCATGCTGCAAGTTCCCTTTTGTCTGAACTAATTTTTGTGTTTCAGTTTCTTTCAGGACGGCTTGAAAACTGCGGATAAAATGAAGCAGTATATCGAAAAATTGGCTGCAGACTTGTATAACGTAAGTTGACGGTTTGTCTCTAAGGCCTGGTTCACACCTGGGAGTTTTACAGCGCGTTCCTACGCGCTGTGAAACGCTCAACATGTGAAAACCAATAATTGCCTATGGGCATGGTTCCCACCTGGGTGTTTACAGCGCGTTTCCATTGGTATACCCGAGTGTGGATCGAGGTTAACAAAGCGGTAACCCCGAGCCACACTCAGGAATAGAGCGTACAGGTCTTACCTTGTCCGCGATCCCCGTTGTGTCCTCCTGCGGCTGCCGACTTCCGGGTTCCGCGTCGCAGGGGGGGCGGAGCCGGCGGGAAGTTTGAACATGAAAAAAAACAAAACATTTTTAAATGGAGAAAATAAGGGGAAAAAATCATACCGCCAGTGGCGCGTTTCACTGAACGAAAAAAACGAGCTGAAAAAATACGCTCAGGTGTGAACCCAGCCTTAGGCTTTGAAACATTTTTGCTGAATGCCTTTTATTTTGAAATATTCTCTGCACTCCATTCACAATCTTTTTGGAATACATGCAGTTGTCTTATTTTGTCTTTATGCTCCGTTACACCTGATGTGGAAAAATGCTTCATTACTCCTCTCAAGAGTCCTCCACCCTGATGCAAGCAGTGGGCCGGCTCATGGGAGGAGTTATGTAAATATCAGAATGCCTTCATAGGTGTATATTTCAGTTCTATCCATCATGGAGGCACAGCATCATATGAGGCATTACCTAGGGCAGCCTGTTTGCAAATGCAGTCTGCCTGGGATCACCCACTCCTCCACACTGACGGTCTGGTGGAGTGGGTGTTCCCAGGCAGACTGCATTTGCAAGCGGGCTGCCCTAGGTAATGCCACATATGATGCTGTGCCTCCATGATGGAAGAACTGAAATACAATGAATGAAAGGGGTGGGCCCGGGACAGTCAGATTGCACCGCAGTGTAGGCTGGTACTAGTGTAGTGTAGGCTGGTGATGCACCGCCGTGCAGTCTGGTGATGCAGTGCAGGCTGGTGATGCACCGCAGTGCAGGCTGGTGATGCAGTGCAGGCTGGTGATGCACCACAGTGTAGGCTGGTGATGCACAGGCAAACATTGCATAGGTTGGGAGGTGGCTAGGCACTGAAAATGGTGGTGGTGGTCATACAAGAGTAACTGACATTTGGGAAACAATGTTTTTTGTCTCCAGATAAAACAAACACAAGATGAAGAGAAGAAGCAGCTCACTGCCCTGCGGGACCTCATCAAGTCTTCTCTTCAGTTGGATCAGAAAGAGGTAGGTGTATTTAGGTGGCTGGTATGCTGAGAGTTGCAGTTCCACATCATGGTGTGGTTTCCATGCACTGGGTAGCTGCCCTTTGGACCAGGTGTGAGCAAACTCCGGCCCTCCAGCTGCGGTGAAACTAAAAATCCCATTCATCTGTCTCTGGTCGTCATGCATGTGGCTGTACGAATCTTGCAATGCCTCATGGGATTTGTAGTTCCACAACAACTGGAGGGCTGCCCCCTCCTGCTTTGGACAGACTGAACCTACGGTTCCTCATCTGTTGTTTTTTATTTAGTTCTTTATAGTTATGATGTTATTTCTCTAATATAAATGACGTGATGTGTCTAGTGTGAGGGGCACAGGAGGTACCGGAGAGGGGATCTTTGTCCGGGAATTACTTATAGAACCAGTAGATTAGCAAATGTTGACGGATTCCCTGACGTTCTCTGACAATGAACTGAGAAGCGGGTGCGGCATATGAAAGATGAAACCTCAAGTGTCCAATCATTAGGAAAATGTGAACCAGTCTTGTTTGGCTGGATTATGGAGAACCTGAGAGCTCAGGCGACTGACTTTCCAAATTCCGCATGTGTTACTGCGTCCTCAGTTGAAGATGGGGCACCTAAAAACAAGCTGAACCCAAGTATATATATATATTTTTTTGATGCTAACACTCTGAAATAGCAAGTTATAAAACAGTGCGTGCATACTTGTATATCTGTGTTACCTTTTCTTTATCCATATTTTATAATATTATTCGTATCGCATCTTGCAGAGACCGTTACCTCCATGACCTCTCCTCAGCGTTAGTGGGAGGTGATAAAGATGGGCCTTCCATCTAAGGGCCCATTCACACCACATCCAGATCATCTACAGACCAGATTGTTTACGGGCCCAAAATCAATCATAATGTATCCCTATGCTGTTCACCCCCGCGCAGTCTGTTCCAGACCAGAAAAATACCTCATGTCTCATTTTGTTTGGTCTAGAATGCATACATCAAAAAAACACATACAAGCGCACTGGAACGCACCTGAAAGCCCGTTTTAAGCTACAAAAAGCAAAAAAAAAAAAAACCCAGCTCTGCAACGCGGTAAAAACGGCAAAATGCTATGCACCGTGTTCCAGATCTGGTCCGCAAAATGATGTGACCCTGGCCTGAAGGAAGTGAGGTGCTTGATCCCTCTTAAGAAGTTCTCTGTAGGAACTACTTTAATATTTTTCCAGAAACTCTGCGTTTTATTCTCTTTCTCCTGACCTGTTATCAGCTACTTGATACTTGATTAGAGCAGCTTTGGTTAGATATGCCTTGCAGCAGTGGGGTCATTGGTTTGAATCCTGGCAAGGACACTATCTGCATGGAGTTTGCATGCTCTCCCTGTGTTTGTATGGGTTTTCTCACATTGGATTACTGCACAGATCCGGAAGAAATACACAAAGCTCACCAAGATTTAAGGAAGAGTACACATGACTCTTGTATGACTACAATATTTGCTTATCATTATGGATCCCCAGAATTCAGCTTTAACTTTTTCTTGGTGTATGAATGATCTGTTTTGTTGCTCTCTTCCTTGTTCTGTGTCAGAGAGCTCTAATTTATTTGTGCTTTTCAGCACTGGTTCTTCCTCTAGGTCTCGTTCACACCATATGAAGTGCGATCCGGCCCGATTCTGGCCGGATCGCACTGCCTCGCATTGGCACAATGTGCCTTGCGTTCCCGTGCGGGCGATTGCATTGCGGCCGTAAGCTACGTAAGCTACTTCAATGGCATGCCACGTAAGCTACGTAATCTACTTCAATGGCATGCCACGCCCCCTCCAACCCTGGCAGAAAAGTGAGGCGGCCGCAATGGAACGCACTGCATATGGTGTGAACTAACCCTTAGTCTTCAGCTCAGCTGTCATCATTCTGCCACTCTCAGGTGTTTTTGGTCCCATTGATGGTATCATTTCAGCCTACACATTGGTGGTGTGTCAGCTTTCTGCAGGATCATAGTAAAGAAAGTCTTTTTCTGCCTTCATATTGACTAAACTGTCATCCGGTTTCCACTCTGTGATAATAATATAGCTTAATGCAGGGGCGCCCACTATTTTTCGTCTGGAGATCTACTTTTCAAATGACGAGCTCATTGAGATCTACCAACGAAAAAACACCTGCATTCAGGGGCGGGAGGGGGCGTGGCGGTGCATTGAAGTCAATAGCACCGCAGCCAGGCTCCGCAGGCAGGCCCCTCGCCCACAGTGCGATCGCCTGCATTAGTGCCTGTGTTCCAGTCCAGTGCGATCCGCAAAAATGCTGCGAGCACTATTTTTGCAGATCGCACTGGACCGGAATGCAGGCACTAATGTGCCTGCGTTCCGAGTGCGGGCGATCGCACTGTGGGCGATGCCATTGACTTCAATACAGCTCCACACCCCCTCCCGCACCGGAACGCAGGGAGTCGGCCTGCTTACATTCCAGTGCATTCCAGTACATTACAGGTCCCGGCGTCCTGTCCTCCCGTGGTGCTCGTGTGGCCGACGTTGCACATGGGGTGTCCTGCACCTTTCCATCTGCAGCGTCTGACACATTCAGCCGGCAGCCGCACGAGCACCACGGGAACATAGCCGTAGCCAGCTCCTTTTGCGCCTGAGGCAAGAAAAAAAACAAAGTTTTTTTAAATTTATTTTTTACTATTTTATTTTTTATTTTCATTATTTATTTTTGTTTTTTTTAATTTTCGTAATTTTTTTATTAAAGCTTGGGGGGGGGGGCTTCGGGGAGATATTAGGGGTCTAAAAAGCCCCCTAATATTTCCCTTTTAAAATAGAAAAAGAAATTGAGGACACAAAGTCCTCAATCTCTTTTTCTGCAGCCTCTATTCTAAATGAATGGAAAGCACAGAGGCTTCCCATTCATTCAGAAAATATTTTACTATCAAGCTATTTCTGAATGGGGAGGAGCCTCTGTACAGAGTGCTTCTGCCCATTGAGAAACTCATGCATGAACAGGACGTGATGTAAATCACATCCTGTTCATTCATTTATAACTGGGGACACATAGTACTATGTGTCCCCAGTTATTTACAAACACTGGAGTGATCAGCCGATAGCTCCAGTGTTTGTCCTGCACAGAGGATTGGTACATACTATTGACATGTACCGATCCTCTGCCGCTCGTCCACGCACAAGGGGGCTCAGCTTCTCCTCTGCATCCCCCCTGCTCTCCCAGGCAGAGGCAGCGCGGGATCCGACGAGAAGTGAAAGAGCACTTCAGCCGAATACATATCTGGAGGTATTCCTAAATGCACAGAATATTACTGGATATTGAGTTCATATAGGTCTAGTAAGCATCAGAGATTGTTGATCCAGGGATTATCCGATTGCCTCCTGGGATCAGGAAGGCATTTTTCCCCTGTTGGAGCAAGTTGAACCGTGCTTTATTGTTTTTTTTTTTTGTTTGCCTTCATCTGGATCAACAGCGGGTAACTGTGGGCACAGCGTTCTGTTTTAGATCTTTCTTTCTTTTCTTTTTTCCGCATCTCAAGGTTGAACTCGATGGACTTATGTCTTTTTTTCAACCTGGCTAACTATGTAGAATGCTGAGGTTCTATAGTAATGTCTGTAAGATAAGCTACATAGTTCCTAGTCCAGGGATAACAGTGAAAGACTTTGCCCTGGACACACTATCCTCCTCTCAGCCCACTTTTGCAGATAGAAAAGGGATTCTTGGTCCATTTTAACTAGAGTTATGATTTATTGGTGATATTTATATTGTAATTCTGGCACTTTTTTGACAGTTTGCTTTTAAAGTGGCCCCTTCATCCCCTTCTCCTTACATGAAACTGCCGTCATTAATGGAATTACTACTGAAAGGTTTTTCCTTGGTTATTGGCAGTTTTGACTGTTGTGCGATACTATCCGTCAGAAACATACATGCACCCAGAACAGTTACTGTGATTCAGACGATGCATGTTAAAGGTTTGGCAAACATCACCTTAAGGGTCCATTTAAACCATCTGCATTGGAGCAGCGCTGACCTTTTTTTTCCAGTGCAGCCCCAACGTAAGACAAGGCAATTTGCCTTATCACAGATGGTGCCCATTTATTCCAACTGCAATGCAGTGGTGTGCGCTGAAAAAAAAAGTAAGTCAAGTAACCGCCTAACATCACGCTGTGCCCGTAGAACTGAATGAAATGTGACTTGTGACATTACAATAAAGTTCTAACAAAAAAAAGTACACAGTGCGATGCGCCGGGATCAGCGCTTGGGCACTGTGCTGGGGCATGGCACACCAGGCGCTGTACAATTAGCGCTTTGTCTGATGCAAATGGGCCCGTAGACTTATTACAACATGAAAATGAGCAATTTCTTTAAAGGCAAACAGAACCAAGTAAAAATCTCCCACATATTGAAGGAAATAATGAAGGATAGCTCAGAAAGAAGGATAATGTATGTACAACATTGATCTCTAAAGGGGAGGTAAACTTCTTACCTGTACGTGGTTGTTATTGTCCATGTGAGCTGTCGGCATTAGTTCTCTGGTGTGTAGGGCACATAAATCTTTCTTCTGGTTTGGTAACCCAACTCAAAATGTATCTTTTGTCTAATTGGGATGTCCTAGGAATGTTGTTACCTTCTGCTCTGGAGTTGCCAGCGCTGTACCATGCTGGTAGCCAGTGTAAATAAACTTGTTCCTGGCAACCAGTGTTGTGCCACCCTTGCAGCTCAGTCTGTGTGCCAGATAGAAGCTTTCTGTGGTAGTGTATACTGAAGGCCTGGACAAACCTTCCCAAACACTAGGAACCAGCTGCAAAAAAGTTAGGATCCATAATGGTGCAGTATTGACATCTTGGTCTGTGCCCAGGGTTGGTTTTGGGATAGCAGGCAGTGTGTAAACCCCACTCTATAAATTCTAAAATATGCTATTTGCTGCAGTAACAACTCCTTATCCTATCAGGGCGCTGAGGTGCACTACCACCATTCCACTGCTGGTTTCTGGCTGCTGATCCAGCCACATTTCTGCCCCC